GAAAGATACCATCTCCTAAAGTAGAGACCAAATAAGAGAAAAAAAAGAGAAAAAATACACTTTTTTTTTCAAACGACTTTATAATAGACGAGCTAGTTACTTAATGCGATGTCTAAAAATTCACAGAAAAATCTCTTAACATTCAGAAGATGCCGATCATTCAAACCCTTGCTATGTTTTTAACCATTTTAACCAAAAACCAAAGATAATCTGTCATTCTGACGTACATCACTTTTGTTCAATTACAACTTTCTGCCTATATTGTCAAAGTGGTTCATTCCGCCTGATTACTTAATTCAAATGTTTATTGATTTACCAACTCTGGTCACTTGGTTAGGTATCTTTGTTAAAGAAAAATTTCTCACAGCAAGTGTAGAAGATAGTATGCCAGAGTCCTTTGCTCCAACCTTTGGCAGATATCATTTAACTTTTAGCAAATGTTTCAGTCTTTAGCTAAGCAGTTACTGATTTAACATATTTTGTTGAAATGCTTCGTCTCAGGGGTTTTATGGTCCAATGGAGAATCGTGGAAAAAAATGAGGCGCTTTGCATTTATGAACCTGAGAGATTATGGGATGGGTAAAAAGGCATGTGAGGACAAAATCTGTGAGGAAAGTCAGCAACTTACTGAAGTGTTTAAGAAATTCAACCACCTGCATGATAAGCAACACTCTTCAAAAGAATCAGCTATGATTTCAATTTTGGTTGTTGTTCGTACTGTTGTTGTTTGTTTTTCTGTTTGCAGGAGAAGCCTTTGATACGACCCAACCAGTGAACTACGTATGCAGTCTCTAATATTATCTGCTCCATGGTCTATGGCAGCAGGTTTGAATATGATGACCCAGAGTTCACATCTCTGGTAGATCGAACAAACAGAAACAGTCAACTTGTGGGCTCTCCGTCTATACAGGTATCTATGTGGCACTGTGATTTAAATACACATAAGAAATAAACTCTTGATTAGAACTGAATATGAGTTACCCAGGAAATCTTCACATTATGTTAAATACTGTTGCATAAACATATATTTTGATAGGTGTACAACCTGTTCCCATGGACTGGTAGATGGATCAGTAACAAGAAGAAATTCTGCAAATTGTATGAAGCCAATAAGAAAATTAACTTGGAGCTGTTCAGACGTCTGAAAGAGACCCTCAACCCACAGATGTGCAGAGGTTTTGTGGATGCCTTTCTGGTCCGCAAGCAACATCTGGAGGTTGGTAATCACCTGCCTATCATAATTTCTATAATGCTCATCGCTTATTAATATTTAAATATAATCTTTGATATACACGTTTTAGACTTGAGTAAGGCTGGGATAACATACATTCACAAGTGAAAGCTAAAGATGTGAGCCCATAGCAGAGTCACTTGGGCTGACAAAAGTTTTTTTTATACAATTAATCTACTTTACTTGTCATAGTAGTGTGCTGTATACTGTCTGTCTTGTTGCCAGTGTCAACAGGTGGGCATACCTGAACCCAAATGAGGTCAACTCACTTCCTGCAGTTGCTTAACTTTCCATTCAGAGTAATAAGCAGCAAAATCTACACCAAACCAAACAAATAAAATCCTCACTGATGCCAGGTAAAGGTCTACTTCAAGATTTCCTTCATTTTTCTCTGTATTTGCAGAAATCTGAGATTACCAACAGTCACTTCCACAATGAAAACCTTTTGATGACAGTTATTCAACTGTTTGGTGCCGGCACTGAAACAACCTCAACTACGATCAGATGGGGGCTCCTGTTTATGGCTAAATATCCAAAAATCCAAGGTAACAGACTGTAAACGTGCACAGCTTTCAAACTTAACCACACATTCCAAGCTTCATCATATAAATAAAAGAGATTCCCTCCCTCCCAGACCAGGTCCAGGAGGAGCTGAGCAGGGTGATAGGAAGTCGTCAGGTGCAGGTTGAAGACAGGAAGAACCTGCCCTTCACTGACGCTGTCATCCATGAGACACAGAGACTGGCCAACATTATCCCCTTTTCACTGCCTCACAAAACGAGCCAAGACGTCACCTTCCAGGGTTACTTCATCAAGAAGGTCAGACTCAACAAAACTACTAATATGGAGGATAAAATCCAACAAGCAAGAAAATACAAAATATATAAAACATGTCAAAAATGTTTGGTAAATTAATTGAATAACATGATGTGTAATAAATGAACAAGATTAAAAACGAGCGTAGAGTTGACAGCCACACCAGTAACTGTGAGGCTTTGCTTGGCTGGCTAAATACTGACGTCAACATGAACAGCTGAAGTTGACAGGACGGTCATTCATTTTAAAGGCATTTGATCAAAAGTCAAAGTATTGGACAATAATATTTTTGACCTGATGATGGCGCCAAATGAAAGGTAACCACTGATATCAGCACCAAGTTGCATTGGAGTCCATCCAATAGTTGTTAGGTCATTTATTTAGAACCAAACATGTGAACCTACTGTCAGTACATTTCATCAGTGTTAAAATAAACGTGATATTTTTCTAATTCTTTTTATCTGTTGAATGATCCTTTTTTGAGACTTATCAATGTATTTGAAAAAATTTGAAAAAATCTTTTTATTTATTAAGTTGTTCAACAAAGTTCTTAAAACGTTTTAGTATTTCATCAAAATAAATAATTAAAGGATAATATGATGAGTACAGAAAAGCCTCACAGATTTTATGTTGTCCACAGGGGACCACAGTGTATCCTCTCCTCACATCTGTCCTGTATGATGAGAGTGAGTGGGAGAAACCATACTCCTTCTATCCTGCTCACTTCCTGGACAAAGATGGAAAGTTTGTCAAGCGAGATGCATTCCTACCTTTTTCTGCAGGTTTGTGATTTCGAGCGTCTCTTAATGTCAGTGTTCACTTCTACTGGCAGATGACTTGAAGTGTTTCTGTGCTGTCCCTCACAGGTCGCAGGATTTGTCTCGGAGAGAGTCTGGCCAGGATGGAGCTCTTCATCTTCTTCACCACCCTCCTACAGCACTTTCGTTTCACTCCTCCACCTGGAGTTTCAGAGGATGAACTGGATCTGACTGCACACATGGGCCTCAGCCTCAGCCCTTCACCTCATAAACTTTGTGCTGTCCCCTGTATGTGAGGAGGGGGAGGGCTTAGTAATGAAAAAAAGTTTAACAGTAGTTAATATGATCAAAACCACTGATGTCAATAAATCAATCCAGTTAAAGCGGCAACTACATACACAAGAGGCACAACTGAATAAAGTTACTTTGTTACACAACAACAAAAAACAATCTAGCCACAACCATTAGCCCACGATAGCACTGACATGATATGCTCTACAGCAATGCTGGCATCAAGCCAACTAGTGATAGCTGCAGCAAGTTAACTAACATTATCATGCCTACTCTAGCTGGTCATTAATGAAAATAGACATTGTGTAATATTTTGAAACCATCAAGTTTTTTATGCATGGTGGTGACAAAAAGCCAGTTCCAAGTCAAGTTGGAGCCTTTTAGCACCTTGTAGGGTTTTTCATATCAGTAAAGCCAGACCAACATTGATTCTGGTCCACGATTGCACTGGGAAAGAAAATGAGCCTCGGACTTATCTGCGTAGACTGGAATGCATGAATGACACTGAAGGAGCTGGTAAAAACTTTAAAAACTGTGGTTGTTTTGATGTTCCACCAGCCAAAAGGGATTTGAGCCGGTAGTCCCCATAGCCAGTCCACCTATGCTTTGGTCATACCTCTTTCTTTATCTGTGGCCTGTTAGGTGAAAAGCGTGGTTTCTTCAGTGGAGGAAATTCTGGAAGGCTGCTTTCACTCGAACGCTGCGTACTGCACTATGCCATCTCGTGTGTGGGCGGTCCCTGTATGATTATAAACGTGGGGAATTAATGTTAAATAACTTTAATTAGAATTACAGTTGTCTGCTGGGCACCATCTTAATCAGGAAAAGGACAGCAAATGTTGACACAGGTTCTGATTATACGATCAATTTGGAAGTCTGGGGAACTCTGTTGTTCAATAACCCAACCAGGTAAAACTCCTGAATTCCTGAAAACAAAGGGGGTGCATCTTTTAAAAGCTAATATTGAAAAGCTACAAGACTAATTAAAGCAAAGTACTAAGTACTAAACTATATTGATGTCAAAACATATCTCTACAACAATTAAGCCTCCATGTGTCACTGCTCCGGAATACCAGTGATTTCTAAAATTAGATAATATATATGTCATTTTATATTGGTAATGAAATGCAAAGCCAACATTGGACATGAAAGGGTGCACTAGCTAACAGCTAACTAGCTAGCTAACATTAGTTAGCTAAACTGTAACTTCAGGAAAAAGTTAGAACCTAGCTAACATTTGTTAGGTGCTATCACTAGGTTCTAACATTTGTTAGCTAGGTGCAACATAAGGCAAAAGCTAGAAACTAGTTAATGGTAGCGTTCATCCATATATTCTTGACACAATCTAATTCAGAAACTCTGAAAGTAAGAAAGTAAAGTGTATTAAACAAACTAAATAATTAGCATGTGCTACTTACATTACATACAGTGTCTCAATTTGCTTGCACAAGGGTGGGGACGCCAACAGAAAAGGCCAAGTCACCCTTGGTCTTCATTCTGTGACACATGCAGACCTTTTTCCTATCAATACCATGTTCAGAACATAAGATATTCTGGGATTTAAACATAACATGCTCAAACATTTAGGATTCAATGAGACAACAATAAGGGGAATGGAATAAAACATGGAATCCTTATCAATGGTGAAGCATTAGAACCAAACACAGACACAGTAGGGTGCAAAAGTCTCAGACTTATGCAGAATAAAAACAAGCGTTGCGACATGATATGTATACTGTATGTTGCAACAGCAGGAGCGGTCCGTGTTAATCTCTGAACCAGATTTCAGAGAACATGACCTAAATACCTTAGAGCAGACGACAAAAACTTGTTGGGCTAGTTTTCCGCAGTATGTCCCTCCCCTTGGGCTGTGCCTATTCTCCAAGCACAAAAAGAAACCCCTCTTTACAAAAACATTAACAGAGGCTCGAGAAGCAAATCCATATTGTGAGGAACACTGACAGCTTAAGGATACTTTTCTTAAATCATGGAGATGTTAGATCTATTTCTCCAGACCTTCAGTTCTGTCTCCCTGTTGGGAACTATAATGATCCTGCTGCTCGTCTACCTTGTTTTGACCTTCAGCTTCAGCTCCCAGGAGGACAAGAAGGAGCCTCCAGGCCCCAGGCCACTTCCCCTGCTTGGTAACCTGCTGCAGATGGATCTCAAGAGACCCTATAAGACGTTACTGAGGGTATCCACTTTCTACTGTGTGTGTGTGTGTGTGTGTGTGTGTGCTTCTGGCTTAGGTTACTTTTGGGGACTAATTTCAGACTAAATCCCAGTCACCAGAGGAGAAAAGCCCCATTAGGAAAAAGCTGATTTTTGGGTCAGTGGTTATGGTTAGGGTCCTGGCAAGTCTCCAGGAAATTATTGCAAGTCAATGTAGTTTTTCCCAATGTGAAAAAACTAAATGAGTTTGTGTGCATGTGTGAATCAGGCTTCATCTAAACTGTCCAATCAGGAATTAAGAAAACCAGCTGTTTATCTAAATGTGAACACATTAACAGCCTGGTATGATTCATTATTGTTGTTTTATCTGTTTCTGCCATTTATGTAGCTTTATTTAAATGTTTATGTATGATTTTCCATTAGGTAGAAACTATAATAATGGTTTATACATTATTATATGAAAACCACATTAAATACAAATTAATACCTGCTGCAGATGTGCTGCAACAATGGATTAATACTTAAAATATATAAATTATTTACATATATCAAACACTCTCCAATCAAAATCAGCGCAGAAAGTCTCCTTCTATTTGTTAAATCCCTGCAGCATCTGTAGAAGTGTTGTGTGGGTTGAGTATATGGAGTCAAAAAGCAGCCTTAGTTATAAGCTAAGTATAATAAATATAGTATAAATAATAAGTATAAATAATCTGCAAGACTGTGAAGTGAATCATCCTGTGATGTTTGGTTTTGCTCCGTGTGTGGAGGTTTGATGTGGTCACAGTTAGCTAATGTATGAACCGTAGCACATACGAGTAAGAAAGTGCATCACTAATCTGAAGGCAGCAGGACTGATAAATTGGCAGTTCACTTTTTCCACCTGCGTTAAATCGCCTGAAAGAGACACCAGGCTGTGATAAAACCATAGAGACCTTTACATACATAAGACCAGTCACTTATAACTAGATATTGTGCTTTTCATGAAGGAGAGGTCAGGTTAACAGGGCTCATTATAGGCCGTTTATAATCTGTTTTATCCTTGAAACAAATTAAATAAAAATTATATAGATAAAGATAACCAGATAAAGATATGTAAATGACGAAAACAGATAAAACAATAATTATGACTAGAGTTAGGAGTCACACATGCATGAGACTTTTAGTAAATGATCAAACAAGTGTCTGTTCGTGCGTCTCGTCCTCCACGACCCTTTTCAACCCCCATAATGTGTGTGTGTGTGTGTGTGTGTGTGTATGTGTGTGTGTGTGTGTGTTCAAGTAAGTATCTGTAATATATGCTGCTGTTCTTAGTTTTCCAAGAAATATGGATCCGTGTTCACCATCTATATGGGAGCCAAGAAAGTGGTGGTCCTCGCGGGATTTAAGACAGTGAAGGAAGCACTTGTCAACTATGCTGAAGAGTTTGGAGACAGAGATCCGATGCTAATTATGCATGAAGTTAGTCAAGGACACGGTAAGACAAGAAAAAACTAAACAACAACAACAACAATAACAACAACAACAACAACAACAAGCTTTTCCTGCAGTGTACCACTCAACATTTAGGAAATGTTCACAGGCTTTAGTTGTAATCAGTTATTTATTTAACACGTGAGGAAAATTACAATGGTGTATGGTGTGTTTTCTTCATGTTCTGATTTCACAATGAAGCCTATTAGCTATGGCTGAAAATAGACTTCCAGAGGGAAAACATCTGATAGGAAATGTTAAAATTTGCTGATATGTGCCAAGAAAGTTTTGGCAGGGACATGCTGACATGGGAGGAGAGTGCGGGGGTTAATGTGGTATGACCATCAGGTCTTACGGAAACAGTCTATAAATACTCTGTTGTTTTGTTCCTGTATTTCTGTCAAAGGGTGGTGGTGAGTGTATAGAAGAGATTTGTCTGTATAAGAGAGAGGTGTCAGTTGAACATGTCCTGAGTGTTGTATGTAACTGTATCCTCTGTGAACTTAAAAAAAAGAGTAATAAAGGAGCATTTCATCAGTCTCACTGCTTAAGTTATTCTTTCTTTTCATATGATACAGAGAAGAATTTCCCTCACACACATTTTGTTGAAATGCTTCGTCTCAGGGGTTTTATGGTCCAATGGAGAATCATGGAAAGAAATGAGGCGCTTTGCTTTGACGAACCTGAGAGATTATGGGATGGGTAAAAAGGCATGTGAGGACAAAATCTCAGAGGAAACTCACAAGCTCACAGAAGTGTTTAAGAAATTCAAAGGTAGGTGTTTCAACCACCTGCATGATAAGCAACAGGCTTCAAAGGAATCACCTATGATTTTAATTTTTGTTGTTGTTGTTGTTGTTTTTTTGTTTTTCTGTTTGCAGGAGAAGCCTTTGATACGACCCAACCAGTGAACTATGCAGTCTCTAATATTATCTGCTCCATGGTCTATGGCAGCAGATTTGAGTATGACGATCCAGAGTTTACATCCATGGTAGATCGAGCAAACGGAACTATTCAACTTGTGGGCTCTCCATCAATACAGGTATCATTTCATATGTTTATGAATCTAATACTTTCAGTAATGTGATTTAAATAAAATTACAAATAAACTCTTGATAGCGAATAGAACTGAATCTGAGTATCCAGTCAAATCTTTACGATATTTCAAATACTGATGTGTATACATATATTTTGACAGGTGTACAACCTGTTCCCATGGATTGGTAGATGGATCGCTAACAGGAAGCTTTTTCACAAATTGTATGATGCCAATAAGAAAATGAACTTGGAGCTGATCAAACGTCTGAAAGAGACCCTCAATCCAGAGATGTGCAGAGGTTTTGTGGATGCCTTTCTGGTCCGCAAGCAACATCTGGAGGTTGGGAATCACCTACTTATCATAACTGCCATAGTGCTGTGATCTTTGATTTAACACGTAGACATTTAACTCACCTGTTTACATTTTATCAAGGCTTAAAGTTATGCATAATTGAGGTGGCCTCTTTTATTGACGGGGGTGCTCTCCAGTTTGATTGGCGTCACCTCAGCTCAATGGAGTCACTGAACTTGACCTCTTGACCGCGTGTGTGGTGTTAATGCAATTATCAGACAATTAATATGGCTTGTTGTGCAGTTAATCTTTGCATTTAAAAGACAAAGATCCTCTTGATCCAAACATAACTGGATGTGTTTGCAAGTTAGAGGCATAGATGCATTAATGGACAACTAGATTTATTCGGTTTGAGTTTTTATCTTCTTACCTTGAAACGTTGCAAGATTGTTCATCATTGTTCATCAGGGAGACAAGCGTGAATCACCAATAATCAGAAATGGTAAGATGATAATCCAGAGTCAACGGTTTGTTGTAAACATTTTACATGTACATCTTACATGTACTACTTTAAATTATTATTTGAAAACGGCCCCTATTTTTAACAACGTGTTCATGTTCATAGATTTCAGCTGTGTTACTGTATATTTTTCATAACTAATACAACCAATGGTTGAAGCTACAGAAGAGTAATCTTGCTTCATGTTATGCCACAGGTAGCAATGATAAAGGTTATGTCTTGGGGAATTAACCACCACTAAGTCTTAGGGCTATGAAAACTACTCACAAGCCACAATATACACTGGATGTCTTGTTGCTTGTGTCAACATGTGGGCATACCTGAACCCAAATGAGGTCAACTCACTTCCTGCAGTTGCCTCACTTCATTCCATTTAACCAAGCGAATCAGAAACGGAGTGATAAGCAGCAAAACCTACACCAAACCAAACAAATAAAATCCTCACTGATGCCAGGTAAAGGTCTACTTCAAGATTTTCTTCATTTTTCTCTGTATTTGCAGAAATCTGAGATTACCAACAGTCACTTCCACAATGAAAACCTTTTGATGACAGTTATTCAACTGTTTGGTGCCGGCACTGAAACAACCTCAACTACCATCAGATGGGGGCTCCTGTTTATGGCTAAATATCCAAAAATCCAAGGTAACAGACTGTAAACGTGCACAGCTTTCAAACTTAACCACACATTCCAAGCTTCATCATATAAATAAAAGAGATTCCCTCCCTCCCAGACCAGGTCCAGGAGGAGCTGAGCAGGGTGATAGGAAGTCGTCAGGTGCAGGTTGAAGACAGGAAGAACCTGCCCTTCACTGACGCTGTCATCCATGAGACACAGAGACTGGCCAACATTACCCCCTTTTCACTGCCTCACAAAACGAGCCAAGACGTCACCTTCCAGGGTTACTTCATCAAGAAGGTCAGACTCAACAAAACTACTAATTCGGAGGATAGAAACTATCAAACAAGAAAATACTAACTAAATAAAAATGTCAAAAAATGATTGGTAAAATTAGCTAAATGAAATACTGTGTAATAAATTATGACTAAAGATGATAGCCACATCAGTAACTGTGGGGTTGTCATTTGCTGGCCAAATACTAGCGTCCACATGTACAAAGTTAATTTCAAGTTAATTTGATCATAGGTCAAAGTTTATTTTGACCTGATGATGGCGCTAATTAAATATCAATTGATTGATTTTTTTTTTTTTTTTCTAATTTATTGACAAATTTTATGTTGTCCACAGGGGACCACAGTGTTTCCTCTTTTGACATCTGTCCTGTATGATGAGAGTGAGTGGGAGAAACCATACTCCTTCTATCCTGCTCACTTCCTGGACAAAGACAGAAAGTTTGTCAAGCGAGATGCATTCCTACCTTTTTCTGCAGGTTTGTGAGTTCGAGCGTCTCTTAATGTCAGTGTTCACTTCTACTGGCAGATGACTTGAAGTGTTTCTGTGCTGTCCCTCACAGGTCGCAGGATTTGTCTCGGAGAGAGTCTGGCCAGGATGGAGCTCTTCATCTTCTTCACCACCCTCCTGCAGCACTTTCGTTTCACTCCTCCACCCGGAGTTTCAGAGGATGAACTGGATCTGACCCCACGTGTCGGCTTCGCCCTCAACCCCTCACCTCATAAACTTTGTGCTGTCCCCTGTATGTGAGGAGGAGGAGGACCTAGTAATGAAAAGCCACATGTAGCTTAACAGTAGTGAACATATATAATCTAACAACACTAATGTAAATATATAACATAAAATGTATGTTACCTGCTTATTTAAACCGTCCAAGCAATAATAATATTTTTCCTGAATTTTTGGATCTTTGGATATTCCGACAGACAGTGAAATAGAGTACCTTTCTCTTCCAAATATTAAGTACAAACATCAGACATATGATTAAAGTTTTTTCTGTTTTGTGTGTTATCCATATCCATATATCCATTTTCCAGGCATTTCATTTGTCTAGTGTTGATTCAGTACTCTATGCTACCAATATTTTAGAACATTTACATACGTGGCCCTTCCAGATTCATAGTTCACTTATTATATGTATCATGACCCCACAAAGGGCTATCTTGTAATTTGTGATGCAAAATGAAGGTGTAATATTTTGATGTATTTTTCAACAATAAATAATGCTGCATAAATCAGTTCACTGGCAATGTTTTATCCAGTCCATGAGATGCTACATTCTTTGAACCGCAGAGTCTTTAGGAAGTAAAAATTCAGGGCCTGTCTCATGGTTTTATGCTGCCTGTCTTTAATGTTCTAAGTCTCTGTCCTGCATCTTGCTGCTCTCTGCCTAGACATCTTCACCTTTCTGCACTCCTTCCTGGCTGAAGACTTATTAAGATAATCCCTTTGAACTGACATTAAACATATCAAATGTGCAGTATAGAGAACACACATCTAAAAATCCCTTTTATGGTAAGCTTCAAAGCAATGACACACTCTAGTGACAATGAATCATGTATTTTCCTGCCTCAATATTGTTAACCTTTCCTGGCTCACTGTCTGAACTGTAGTTCAGAAGCATTTATTTACTGGCAAATAGCCTAAAGAACACATACCTTACACTGCTACGATCACAACTATACTGCTAACTTATAAGTCTCCTCACACAATATTGTTCAATTACATGAGCAGGTAAAAACGACTGAATTCCTGAATAAAAACAAAGGGGGTGCCTTTTATAAAAGCTAATATTAAAAATGTAAAAGACTAATTACTAAAGTATTAAAATTAAATAATAAACTTTTTAATGTCAAAACCTTTCTCTCCAACAACGAATCCTCTGTTGTCTAACTGCTCATGACTGAGCGCCTCTATTTGCTAAAATTAAATATGATATTTTATACTGGTAATGAAATGCCAAGCAAACATAGGAAATGAAGGGGCCCTCTATCAGCTAGATAACATTAGTTAGCTCATTTTTAACTTAAGGCAAAAGTTAGAAACTTGCTAACATTAGTTAGCTCAAGTGTAACTTAAGGCAAATGATAGAAACTAGCTTACATTTATTAGTTAATGTATAACTTAAAGCAAAAGTTAGAAACTAGCCAACATTAATTAGCTAATCTATAACTTAAAGCAAGAGTTAGAAGCTTTCTAACATTTAGCTAAACTGTAACTTAAAGCAAAAGTTGGAAACTAGCTAACATTAGCGTTCATCTATAGATTATTAATGCAATCTAATAGAAAAACTCTTAAATTCAGAGAGTAAAGTATATTAAACAAGCTAGACATTTAGCTACTGCTACTGACATTTGTTTACACTGTCTCAATTTATGCTACATATCCCCAAGTATAGACTTGAGAGCTGTGTCCCAATTCAGAACCGGCATCCTTCAGAAGATGCGGTATAGCAAGCCCGCCCTTACTGTTGCGTCACAAAGTGCCAATCCTGTCGCCTAGCAACCTTGACAACATATAATTTTTTTTTCTTACAAAAACTTGAGGTTTTAAATTTCCTTGTTTTTTTTTAACTGTGATGAAAACAAATACTTACATTGTAATCCTAAGGCTCTCTGTCAGCATTGTTTGCTTTCATTACAGGTAATGAATCTCAGGACTGGTTGGGTAACAAAGGATCCAACCATTGACGCCTTTGTTGCCCAGGAAAAGAAGACCACATTTGTCAGCCATATTTGAAGGAGCCTTCAAAACGGGACAGCTGTGATGCAATCGGTCTTGAAATGCAGCCTCAGAAGGATGTAGCCCCTGAATTGGGACTCAGCTGAGGACATAAGCCACTGATGGGAGTGTGACAGGCAAACAAAGTGTTCAACTAGATTCTTCCAAGCATGAATAAGGAAAATGCATTGTAATATTTACTATTACAGGTAAGAAGGATATATAAATGATTCAATGGCCCACGGAGATGATACTGTGTTTTAATTTGGACTGGCGTTAGCAATTATGGGCTAGTTGTACACAGCCACAACAACAAAAAATAAAGCATTTTTATTTTTTTTACTCCAGAGGGACTGTTGCTGTGGCAACTTAAGCCGCTGGAATACTGAAAATTTTAAGGAATAACATAATAGTTAAGAAGAGTTATCTGCAGCAAATCTTTGACTCAGAGTTCAGAGAACATTAACCAGTAACACTAGATCAATAATACTTGTTGGGGCAGTTTTGCACAATTTGTCCCACCCTTTGGGCTGTGCATATTCTACATTTGAGCCACAAAGGGCGTCTCTCTTTACACAAACACTCACGGAGCCTAAGACAGCCATTAGCTCTAGAAGGATTTGTTGGGACACTAACAGCTTCAGGACGATTTTTTTTTTAATAATGGGGATGTTAGATCTATTTCTCCAGACTTCCAGTTCTGTCTCCCTGTTGGTAACTCTAATAGTCCTGTTGCTCGTCTACCTTGTTTTGACTTTCAGCTTCACCTCCCAGAAAGACAGGAGGGAACCTGCAGGTCCCAGACCGCTTCCCCTGCTTGGTAACCTGCTGCAGCTGGACCTCAAGAGACCCTACGAGACGTTACTGAAGGTAAAGACAGTGACTGGGTCCTTTTCTAGTAGTGTAATGTATTGTGTTGTGTTGGCCCACCTTTTTCACTGTATCACTTTTTCATGTGTGTGTGTTATAAGCAAGAAAATATCTGTAATATATGCTGCTGTTCTTAGTTTTCCAAGAAATATGGATCAGTGTTCACCATCTATTTGGGACCTAAAAAAGTGGTGGTCCTGGCAGGATACAAGACAGTGAAGGAAGCTCTTGTCAACTACGCTGAAGAGTTCGGAGACAGAGATCCAACACAAATTATGCATGAATCTAATCAAGGACATGGTAAGTGGAGAAAAAACATACTTTTACCCCAATCATTGACTTCCTCTGTTAAACTTTACACCAGTATTGTCAGTCTTCAGCCCTCAGTTGCATATTAAACATATTTTCTACTACTACTTCAACTCAGGTATTATATGGGCCAATGGGGATTCATGGAAAGAAATGAGGCGCTTTGCTTTGACCAACCTCAGAGACTTTGGGATGGGCAAGAAAGCTTGTGAGAACAAAATCACTGAGGAATGTGACCACCTCACTGAAGTGTTGAGAAAATGTAAAGGTAAACAATTTATAATATGTTGATTTATCTTAGAGTTGCTCTCATACCTGAGTTAAAAGACTAAGAATTAATGAGTTTAATTAGCCAATCAGAGTCAGCTTCGCCCATTTCTGCCCAGTAACACCTGCTCCTGAATTTGTATTGCAGTCAATGGCAGAGGTGAAGGGTACTACCCCCACTTACTCAAAAACTGTAAAAGATATCAGAATGAGACCAAAACTGGGTGATACGAGACAAAAACAAATCTCTACATTTTTGATATAAAAATTGTCAAAGTTGGAAATTGTGGGATTTAAAAAGAGTTTGTCTGTCGTTAATCACTGTGTAAAACTATAATATGTAATAATAATAAATAATAATATATGACAGAACGATAAAATTAAAGAACATCTTTAGGTTTCCAGATATATCAGTTCCCAGGTGAGAACAGCACTGGAGCCTGAGCATACACCTGATAATTACTAATATACTCAGCTGGCAATTTATTATCAAAATAGTTTTAGACAGTTGTTGATTCAATTGATCACTGTGGAGGATGTAGTGAATATTACATTATACAGAGGTGTTTCTGTTATTTAGCCCACCTTCATTGATAAAATTGGGGTGGTGGGGGTGAAGGGTGGGGGTGGTGATGATGGTGGTGGTGGTGTGTGTGTGTGTGTGTGTATTGCAGTCTATGGGAAAGCTACTCTGATGGTTAAACAGTTCCTGTAGCTCGTAGTTCAAAGTAGTAATAATAATAATAATACATGCCTTCAATGCTACTGCATAATAAACCATGTCAACAACATTTTTGTGAAAAATATCATTCACCGTTTGCTGTTTCCCTTTCTGCAGGAGAAACTGTTGATATAGCCCAACCAATCCACTGTGCCGTCTCTAATATTATCTGCTCCATTGTCTATGGAAGCAGATATGAATATAATGATCCAGAGTTTACATCTCTGATTAAAAGAGTAAACAGGCACTTAGCACTTATGATGTCCCCTTCCATACAGGTACCATAGCACATAAACTATTGCAGTCGGAATGAAGACGTACTTTCATTTTTCACTCTCCTATTTAAATCTTTGTTAAATATTATAATATTTTTTGACAGATGTACAACATGTTCCCACGGTTCTGCAAATGGATCGCAAACAGGAAGGAGTTCCGTAACTTAGATGCTGACATTAGAAAACACAACCTAGAGCTGTTCAGACGTCTGGAAGAGACCCTCAACCCACAGATGTGCAGAGGCTTTGTGGATGCCTTTCTGGTCCACAAGAAAAACCTGGAGGTTGGGAAACATACCTGTCAGAACTGATATGTTGGTTTATGGAGCTGATGGATAGTGGCTGTGTGAATGTTGCTGCAAATGTACACAGCATTTTTTGTGTTTTACAAACGTAAATATACATTTGTTGGTCATTTAGATGTGGGAACAGATTCTTTTTGACTGCACTGAATATGACAACCTTTTATTGCTTTTAACTTAAGCTGTTTTCACTTGTTTGCCAGTATAGCTGAGCACAGCAACAGCTACTGGCATTAACCTGGAGGCTTTTTCTGTTCATTTTGTCTGATGATGTTGTGATTGTTAAATAACTATTAAATAATGAGCCAAGGCATTTAGCGGAAAGGGATGGCCTCTAAGAGGCTGGTACAGCCACAAGGCTCAGTGGTGATTTATTCCCCCAGAATTCAAACTAATAACTACTACTATACTACTGCTGTACTACTAACGTTTCCAATTGATTGAAAACTGATGGAATATGTACTGTATCGTTTCTCTGTTAGACTAAAACAGTAGAGAAGAAAGCTGATTTCTTTTACACTAAGTGAAAAATAAAAATGGGATAAACATTTGTTTGAATAGCTGCACTAATGCTATATTACCTGCAGGAATCTGGGATTACCAACAGCCACTTCCACAATGAAAACCTTTTGAGATCAGTTACGAATATTTTTTCTGGCGGCAGCGAGACAACAGTAACTACACTGAAATTCGGACTCCTGCTTATGGCCAAAAATCCAAAAATCCAGAGTAAGGATCTTAACACATCCGCAGCTTCCATACAGCAACAAACAGTCCAAGCAACAACATCTGATTTACCAACACAAAAATCCTCTTCATGAAAACAAAAACTTCTAATCTCCCAGACCAGGTCCAGGAGGAGCTGAGCAGCGTGGTAGGAAGTCGTCAGGTGCAAATGGAGGACAAGAAGAACCTGTCCTTCACCAACGCTGTCATCCATGAGATTCAGAGACTGGCCAACATCGCCCCCATGTCGTTGCCTCACAAAACCACCAAAGACATCACCTTCCAGGGTCACTTCATTAAAAAGGTTGAAACATCTCATAAGAAGAACCAAGTCTGACTTGACAGAATTATTACAAATAAACCCACTTTTATCATTAATGGGTAAAGTTTGGTTGAAGAACCCACACTATTGTCTTACAGAGGCTAGTCAAAGCAAGGTTAACGTAGGAGGGGGGCACGCTCTTGAATGTGAATGTGACGTTTATCATGGGTTAATATAAATCTGGACATTGTTGTTCATATTAAATCTTTTGTAATGCCTGGGTAGAGCTGTTCAGCAACTAGTAATGGTGCAAGGCAAGTGATTATTTTTAAGAAATTATCAAAATGATCAAATTCCTAATCCTTTAACTTTATCATCTTCATGTCCCAAAACCCCAAAAAGTGAGAGTCGTTACAGGTGTAACAGACATCCAGATGCCTGAAACATTTATAAGTTGTTTGAAGAGAATACTATCACCTATAATGTAGAAATGTTCTAAATGTTCTGTATTGTCCACAGGGGACAACAGTGTACCCTCTCATGGTGTCTGTCCTGTTTGATGAGAGTGAGTGGGAGAGACCACACTCCTTCTATCCTGCTCACTTCCTGGACAAAGACAGAAAGTTTGTCAAGCGAGATGCATTCCTACCTTTTTCTGCAGGTTTGTGAGTTTCAGCACTTCTTCCTTTTCATGTGTGTTTTTCCTGGCAGATAGCCTGAAGTGTTTCATTTGTTCTCTCTCACAGGTCGCAGAGTTTGTCCCGGAGAGAGTCTGGCCAGGATGGAGCTCTTCATCTTCTTTACCAACCTCCTGCAGCACTTTCGTTTCTCTCCTCCACCTGGAGTTTCAGAGGATGAACGGAATCAGGTTCAATTGCACCTGATCGTCGACCCTTTACCCCATAAACTGTGAGCTTTCCCTGTGTGTGAGGGGGAGGGCTTGGTAAACAGTGGTGGAAATGTTCAACATAACTGATCTAATTAAAAAAATTTGTGTTGAATTTCTCATTGGCTACTCATCATATTTACAGCAGAATCACCGTGAAACTGTTACTAAAATGGTTTTTCTTGTAACTTGAGAAAAGTAAAAATGTAACATTTTGTTGTCCACGTCAAACAAGACCTCAAGATATTTGACCTTTGTGGCGTCAACTCTCTGCTAACCTGAAGTGTGAATTCACAGTGCAACGTGTTCTACCAGAAATTGTTTTCATATTCCCAACTTCTTTTCACAAATACTAAGTTTTGCAAAGAAATTAAATTGCGCAAAGATGATGTCGGCTGGCAGTTCTTCTTCTAGTCCATCATGTGCTATATTTTTGTGCTGTGAAAAAGTTGTGAAAGCGTTGTCATGTCTCATGTCACCGTGACCACGACATTAACTAGGACGATGATGTTTGCCTAACCTTAACCGACATCAAAACAAGGTTATCATGCATTCAGTGCAATAACTGGATATTATAGAATAACACAAACTTTGCAGATACCTTCTTACATGAGAATTGTGAGGAAAATTACAATTATACTGTGTTTTCATCATGTACTGATTTCACAATCAGCCTATTAGTAGACATTGGAGGTAAAACATTTGATAGGAAATGTTTACTCTTGTATAAGAGCAAAGAACATTTTGTCTGGGGCATTTGTCTGACCATCGGTGTGACCATTGGGGCAGGAGTTTTCTGGGAGGAAGGTACTAAGTCATATTTGATGTTCAGTGGCTTTTAAATAAGATAAATATGGAGCTGACTAAAACATGCCTTTCATGACAGTAGCAAACCTGTCTTATACACCTTCCTGCACTCCTTCCTGGATGAAGAAGCATTAGGCCGATGTCACTTGCACATGTAACTGAGTGTTGAGTGTAACTGTATCTTCTGTGTACATGCTGAAAAGAGTAATAAGGGAGAATATCATCAGTCTCATTTAGCTTCAGATAATCTTTCCTTTTCCGTAAGATTTCCGTCACGAAAGGTTTCCTCAATATAGTAATAAAAACACTTCATGGTGGAAAGTGTTGAGAGAAGCGGCAAGTCTATGAGAGCTGGTATCAACGGCCGATAAGGTGAGTCGCATATGTGTGTAGTACTGAGGGGTAGGCGCCAAGGGGAAAAGGTCAGTCAGTCACTATAAGGTTGTCGTGCTTCCAATTATATGCTAGTACATATGAAGCTGAGAAGGCGAGGGTCCGTGTCAGACTTTATAATGTGAGGAACAGCTTGAGAAGCTCCAGTCCCTGTTAACGGGACACGGTCACGCCCACGAAAATGACAGAAACTATAGATACTATATTTAACTTTAATAACTTTACTGTGAAAATTGATTTCTGTGAGTTTGACACTGAAGACTGTTCTCAAATTAATCTGAAAGTGATATGTTTTTCTGAAATCAAATATATTTACATACAGTAGGATATTTATAGATTCTGGTAAATTGATTCATGATAAAATAATGCATCTTAATTGATACATAATAACGGACTGCCTCTTAAAATTTATCTTTTTTTATTTATGTTAAAAAAGTGTATGATTTATGATTTTCTTGTCATGTTATTTTCTTGTTTTTTTTTCTTCTTAGAAAATCAAGTGATCTATTTAGGCAACATGACAGTAAATAGGATCTGTGTACTGTGAATCTGTTACACAGATTTCAGAGGACATTGAGTTTGCCCCTCCCCTTGGGCTGTGCCTGTTCTCCATTTGAAGCCACAAACGACATCCCTCTTTATTAAAACACTCAGTGCTAAAGGCTGAGACCTATTTGTCAGGACACTAACAGCTTCAGGACATTTTATTTAATCATGGAGATGTTAGATCTATTTCTCCAGACCTTCAGTTCTGTCTCCCTGTTGGGAACTATAATGATCCTGCTGCTCTTCTACCTTGTTTCGACCTTCAGCTTCACCTCCCAGGAGGACAAGAAGGAGCCTCCAGGTCCCAGACCACTTCCCCTGCTTGGTAACCTGCTGCAGCTGGACCTCAAGAGACCCTACGAGACGTTACTGAAGGTAAAGACAGTGACTGGGTCCTTTTCTCTTTCTTGTGTGTCTGCATTTTGGGAAAGTTAGGAGATTTTGGCCAGTTAAGACTTGGTTTTAGGGTTAGGGTTAGGCATTCAGTTGCAACAAAGATAGAAGGACAAGTGTGTGTGTATGTGTTTTAAGAAATATCTTATATATGCTGATGTCCATAGTTTTCCAAGAAATATGGATCAGTGTTCACCATCTATATGGGACCCAAGAAAGTGGTGGTCCTGGCAGGATACAAGACAGTGAAGGAAGCTCTTGTCAACCACGCTGAAGAGTTCGGAGAACGAGCCGAGATGCAAATAATGAAAGATGTTAGTCAAGGACACGGTAAGACCAACACCAAAAAGCTTTTTCTTCTTACTACGTGTGTTGCACCACTCAACCTTTAGACAATGTTCACAGGCTCTAGTTATGATCAGTTACTTATTTAACAAATGCTCATGTAATGATTTCACAATGAAGCCTGTGGTCACGGGAGCATATATACTTGAATTTCACGTTGTCTTCAGAATATCATTACTCTGTGACCATTTCAGCTAGAGATGTGCCGTTTTTTTTCTTCTCAAACTAGATGATCGCTTTCTATCAAGCCCCTCTTCGTCTTTGTGAGTCACTGTTTTCGATCGATAAACCAACATTAAAAGTTACGATTTTTTAAAACCGTTTGTCAGGTGTAAAATACTGCTCCAAAGAATGAGCAGTACTCATGATCATATACAGAAACAAATTGCCTCTAGACCAGTTCAAACAAATATGTAGTACAGTTTTTTGTTTTTCTGTTTGTTTGTTTTATTTGCTATTAACCTGTATTATACTGACCTGAAGTGTTTGTTGAGTGACATATATAATTAGCGGAGATTATGCTCATTCTAAATATGTAAAGCACTTGGTGAAACTTTCAAGAATGACAATTTTATTAGAAAAAATACAAAGGTATGAAAAAGCTAAAAGGAAAAATTGTGGGCCTAATTGGGTTGAATACTTTGCAAGTTATGCAAGAAGCAAGTCAAGGACATGGCAAGATAAGGAAAAAAAGGAAACAAAAAATAGATTTCTATGTTCTATGTTTTAAATCTTTAGCATAAACCATTTAACCATTGGTAAATGATTATAGACTTACCACCGATGATCAGTTACTGATTTAACAAATATGTTGAAATGCTTCGTCTCAGGGGTTTTATGGTCCAATGGAGAATCATGGAAAGAAATGAGGCGCTTTGCTTTGACGAACCTGAGAGATTATGGGATGGGTAAAAAGGCATGTGAGGACAAAATCTGTGAGGAAAGTCAGCAACTTACTGAAGTGTTTAAGAAATTCAAAGGTACGTGTTTTAACCACCTGCATGATAAGTAACACTCTTCAAAAGAATCAGCTATGATTTCAATTTTGGTTGTTGACGTTTGTTTTTCTGTTTGCAGGAGGAGCCTTTGATATGACCCAACCAATAAACTATGCAGTCTCTAATATTATCTGCTCCATGGTCTATGGCAGCAGGTTTGAATATGATGACCCAGAATTTACATCTCTGGTAGATCGAACAAACAAATACACTCTTCTTGTGGGCTCTCCGTCAATACAGGTATCATTTCATATGTTTATGAATCTAAGATTTTCAGGACTGTGATTTAATTACAAATAACAATGTCTTGAAACTAAGCAAAACTGAATGACTTACAAAAGCAAAACCTTCACATTATTTTAAATACTAATGTATATAAATATTTTGATAGGTGTACAACCAGTTCCCATGGATTGGTAGATGGATCGCTAACAGGAAGCTATTCCACAAATTGTATGAAGCCAATAAGAAAATGAACTTGGAGCTGGTCAGACGTCTGAAAGAGACCCTCAACCCACAGATGTGCAGAGGTTTTGTGGATGCCTTTCTAGTCCGCAAGCAACATCTGGAGGTTGGTAATCACCTGCCTATCATAATTTCTATAGTGCTCATTGCTAGCAAATAATTTCCAATTCACACTTCATACCAAGTATGAACTTTGATTCAACATGTAGATGTTCTAGACTTGAGTAGGGATGGAATGTGTTTTCATATTGTCATGTTCTCCTGAGCAGAGAACGAACGCACACCCCCTTTGTAATTGATGTAATCTGAGATTCTGTGTTCCTCGTTTTGACAGCCGGTCACACCCCCTCTGTTTGTGTTAAAATCCGAGTTTCTCTGGTCTTTGTTTTAGTAACCGGTCCACCTGTGCGTGCACGTCAGCACAAGTCAGTTCCTCCATCGTAAAATGTTGGCTCTCAACACCTTTATTAGACACAGGGAACACCTGCGTGCAAGATTGCACAATGAAGCACACGGTGTTCCAGTGAAAGTGATCTTCCTCCACTGAAGAAACCATGTTTTTCATCTAAGGCGTCCAACAAAGAAAGTGACGACCAGAGCATACTGACCATATGGACAACTGGTTCAAATCCTGGTTGGCCGGTGGACTTTCAAAACATCTATAATATTTTCAAAGGTTTTACCGGCTCCATTAGTGTCTTTACTGGCCCTCTCTGTGTGCCAGTCATTCATTCATGTGACTGGCCTCTGCTGATGTACACAGTGCCCATTACCACAGTCGTGCCCCTGGAGAGAAAGATCAGCAGCTACTTGCGAAGATGACTAGCGATACCATGTAGCTTGAGTAGTGCTGCTTTTAACTGCACCAGTAACATCCTGCAGCTCCCGATTAGTGGTCATGTAGACAGTTCAAGGTGTCATGGACATGGGTAGCTCTCCAGTAAAGAGAATCCAGGGATCTTAAAGTGACATCCGCTTGCATCCAAGTTCAAACAGGCAGGAAGTGTCAACAGGTGGGCATAGCTGAACCCAAATGAGGTCAACTCACTTCCTGCAGTTGCTTAACTTTCCATTCAGAGTAATAAGCAGCAAAACCTACACCAAACCAAACAAACAATATCCTCACAGGTAAAGGTCTACTTCAAGATTTCCTTCATTTTTCTCTGTATTTG